TGTTTGATATTATTTTGGACATAGACTGCGATTTTAGGGTGCTCTGCTGCAGGACGACATCCTTCATATGTATCAGCTGGAATGTCTCTCCTGAGACCAACCAAGTTTGACAAACAGTCTCTCGTAATTAATTTCTCAGCTTTAAAACAAAATGTTATAAACTTAATTGCATTCACTGAAATTTCACATTAATTTTGTACATTTACTTACTCATCCATAGAATAAATTTAATGATCACAACTGTTTAAGCTGTTAAATTCATCAAGAATAGATTTTCTCAAACATACCTGGTTTAAACAAACACAAAAATTGTGATGAATGAAACATTCTGTAAGATTTATAATCGTATCTTCCTTACTTTCCATAAATGTGCTTATTCTGAAACATTCTACTATATTTAATTTAAACAATATTCATCATATCTACTAGAAGAAATACCCGCAGGTATAACTACTAATTCCTGTGGAAGGCTATTGGGCCTGCAGCCTTTTCTGGAATTTTCTGACAGTTCTACAACAATGTACTCCTACTTGACATTCAATACTGTTCACCATCCCTGAGAAAAGGGATTTTATTGAAATTTTAGTTTAAAAATGAGCTATCATCACAGTATTATATCATAGAGTAGATTTTATTTAAGTATTTCTTTGTAGATGCAGTTATCAATGAAAGTGCCTGTTGCTTTTCATTAGATTTTCACTAAAAAACAAATAATTTTTTAAGTCTGTTTTTTGATTGGTTTATATTTGAAACTTACTCCTTTTTTTGTAATTTTTATTGGTTAAATCTGAAACATATCATTTTTGTGGAAATTTCCATTGTTATATTTATTGCTCAGCTATAAAAATACTGCCTAGTTATAAAAATATTACCCAGTTACGGTTGGTAATGATCGGTGCGTAGTTTCCAAGATCCAAGTTTGGGACATATACATTGCAAGCTCCATTATAATAAGATGGTCCTTTCTTTTTTATCCAACAATGAAACAGGGCTTGAAATTAACACTAGCAAACTAACATATTGCTCTTTAGTTTTGCTGGTTAATCTTTAAATGCACTAGATAAATATTGCTAGCATCCACTGTCAGGAAATGAGGATAGTGAGACTACAGCTTTAACTCATTTTAATCAATTGCCAAGCCAATTAACACACGAGTTAGCCAGCTAGACTCACACAATCTGGCCTCTGCAGTGATGTTTTGGTGGTAACATGGTCAGAAATACTGTGTTGTAGCGTGCTCTTTGGGGATGATAATGAAAGAGAATTCATATAAATTGCAATTTTTTTTTTCACATTCCTCTTAATTTGTCCATGATTAAAACAAATGTTAGGTCTATTGGTTTTCTAATGCTTCACCAGTTTTCAGCATTTAAACTGCAACTTTTAACAATAAAATACTTTTTTATAGTATAGAGTGGTCATCAGTAGTTGAGTACTGTAGACTTTATTGAACTAGGTGCTCTTGGTTTAGATACACGTGTGTCAACCAAAGTCAAGAATCTTTTAACTTTTGTGAAATTGTTAAAATAAAAATACTGTTACATGTAATTAAAATAAGTTTTGATATTAATTTAAATAAGTTTTGATATCAATTCAAAAATAGCTTCACAGAAAGCATGACAAAGAAAATGTACAAATATAAATAGATTACATACATATTTATTAACATTTAATACATGAACTAATTAATTATGACACAGTGACATTTAATTTAAAAGAATAATAATAGCGTTGCTGCTAGTCCCAAATTTGCTAGTTGGGAAAAAACTGCTAGCAACTACTTGATAGTGACTTCAAAGTTAAGGTTGAGGCCTGTGAAACATTTTTAACTATCACATACAGGAAACTAACATTACTGACAAGTCTATACCTCCTTTTGTTTCTGTAATCTTCACACATGTATCATCATCTCGAGGGCAAGTTATGGCTTGATGCATTCTCCAATCAACACTTAATTCTCCACATCCAGGTTGGTGACTAACACAGCTGTAACACCACAGTTCTGTGGCCAGAGCTGCAAGAACACGTGCTGATTAGGTAAGCCTACTTTCCACCAAGGTATTAATACCTAGATGATTCATGTCAATTCCAAAATTTCCCACAGAATATTCATAGTCAGGAACATTGTTAATATCATCACTTCTCTTGTAAAAACAGCAGAAATATTAAAAAGCACTTAGTATTCAACAAAACCTTGCCATCAGTATACTTTAGTTTCCAATATCCATTTTATCATTTTGCTTACCTTTAACACATTAAGTAAAAAAAACAGCCCCTTCCCCTTCATCTTTTGAAAATTCTATCACTATTTAATAGCCTAGAATTTTAAAATAATTCTTATTATCAATATTTTCAAACCTAACCAAGTTTTGGTTATCTCCATTATATCATAGTCTTCCATTACAAATAGAATCCTAAACTCATCCATTTTGCTCCTAATATTCCTATATTAGAATAATAGCAACAAAGCTTATCTTTAAAATCAGTATTTAGTTTATGCTATATTACCAAATATCTCGTCACTGTGGCTAACCTATCAATTTGTTTATTTCCAAGCTTCCTCACAACTAAGCAACTTTAGTTTATATTTAATAAATGTATATTCAGACCTTTCCCAAACATCCTTGAATCTTTCCTGCTTAAGTGGAACCCATCTCTAGTATATAATTAACCCTTACTCTGAAAACTATCTCACAGGTCCAATTAGCCCACCTGTTGTTCTAAACAGATTTCAGATAATATTTTGTTTAAACCTCGTTTCCTGCTATGAATTTCATTGACATATCTAGCTCAAGGAGCACTTCTAAAAGGGCCACACATCTATTCCCATGCCTAAGCCTCTAAACCAGTTCATTATACTACAACTTAAGCAGCTCTGATTTACAACTGTTGACATCCTTTGCTCCTACATAAACTACAAAAAAAAAACAATGTTCCTTGGTACCAGCAACTAAACTGTCAACATGCACTGTAACGTTATATATTTTAGTACCTGATAAGCAAATTATAGTCCTATTCTGTCAATGCTTTCCACTCCAAATAACTTTATCCATATGATTAACTCAATGAGCCCCCCCCCCCCCAATATGTAAACCTCCTCATCATTTTTTTGCAAGTACCCAAAGATTCAAATCCATCAGAGATTGGTACTGCAATACCATATGAACCTGTCTCTTTAGCCTTAAATTTTTATTGCATTGTTTTCTTAATTTCTACTCCTAATTTTTGTCATTTGTCACACACACACTAAATTCTTCCATACTTACCCATAAACTACATTTAACCATACTGCAGTTGACTAACCTCTATTCTCTATTTCCAATCTACCCGCCCAATAATTGTATATCTAAACCATTATTTAACAAATGGTTGTGTATGTGTGTCCACTTATACCTGGTGAACCACTGTAAAAAGTATCAATAAAACTGGTGTGTATCCTCAAGGCCCCCAGGGAATGACAAAAGGGGGTCAGTGTTCTGATCACACCTCCTTATGTCACTCCTGTCTTCCTTCTATCTATAATGGAAGCATCAGCTAGTTTAACTAAAATTAAGCTATTTCAGTTTATAAATGACTAACACTAACAACACCTATTAACTGATACTGATACTATTACTTTCTAGTACACAACATCTCTATGAACATAACTATTCACAAGCTTAGATAATATACTAATGTATCAAATTCTTGGCACCTAATAAATTATAACTTCAACTTTTAGATCCATTCTTCTTCTTACTTAGCTAACACTTGTGATAATTCTTGATTTCAACCTAATATTTAATAACTTTATTATCCTATAAGCTATTCCTACTACCCAAGATTACTAGATGACAAGGTTTGCTCGATGCCATAAGCACAGTGCAGACAACTAACAAAAGTAACAAGCTGCTACATGACATAACTAACAACCTCAATAAGGACATGATCATACAGGTAGCTAAGCATATCCTCAGTGTGGAACCAGTTATGGATGTGTTGTTGCTAGACAGAAATTATGGAGCTAAGTTTCTCTAAAATCCAGCTGACATCCTTGTACCTTAACACAGTAGGAAGGGCTTTGTGAAATTTGGCAGTTACTATGCTGGTATTAAGCTTTCCTCTTACCACAACTATTTACAAGTGCAATTATGTGAAAACAAAAAATAAACAGCCTCATGTTGAACCAAACTATTAAATTTGATAGCACGCACCATACATTTATATCTCCAAAGGTCAGGATCTGGACTGTGACAACAAAAAGAAAGCAACAATATGTATTAATAATGAAAGTAAAATTTAGCATTTGTAATCACTACCAATAATAAAACTAGTTAAGGTAACAAAAAAGTAAATTAGTGAGGCTGAAAGACCAAGAAAGGAAGAAGCCAACAGAAACAGACTCAGAGAGAAGGAGAGATATTTCATAACTTGTGGATAGTGATTATTTATAAATTAAGCCACTTATTTTTATTCCTATTTTTCATAAATACTACATGTAATAAAAGAGCACTATATACATATTTTACTATTACAATTAAGACAATGCCTTGTAATTTCTCTACTCATTGCAAAAACAGTTCTTAGTTTGAATATTCTTTTTTAACTATTAACACCATCATTAATTGAACTTACAAATCCATCCAAAGCTTCATTAATATTATAAATATAATAGTAATACTCTTTCCATATACTTAGAGACAAAGATTCTTCCTTAAATTTTAATTACTTTCAATACATTAATATCAACTAGCTTACTAATACTACAGTACAAGTAATACTAATATCAGTGCTGCTACTAGTATTAGTAGCACAGACTGCACAGTGCATTCAATTTCAAGATCCTTCCCTCACCTAGGCTACACTTGAAATTTTAAGTTACATAAAATTTGTATGACCTATAAGTTCAAATCTTGCTTACTCTGTTACTATCAGTATCTTACAATTTTACATATTATTTCACTACAACTTACCTCTTTTACCAAGAGAACAAAATAAAGATAAAGCGAGATATAAAAAAATCATAATGATTAGTTATTTTTTATAATCAGTTAGTCCTAATCGTAAGGTTAATGACGCCTACAGGTATACACCCGAGTTGAGAAACCAACGGTTACCGGATAGAGTTATACCTATTTTGTTGTTAGGGGATCGAATGTTAAAATATATACAAGTAGTTTTGAAACCAAGTTTTCAAAAAGAGTAGAGCCTTTTTGTTTGTAGTAGCTGTTTTGTACTTCAGATAAACGAATGTAATCAAATTATATGGTGAAGTTCAATATAAATGTTTGAACGTCCCTGAAATATTTGGTTTTTAAAGCTAATTTTCAAAAAGTTAGTTAAATATTACAGAAGGTTTGTTTGCTTGTTTGGAGTTCAACACAAAGCTACACGATGGGCTATCTGTGCTGTGTCCACCACAGGTATTGAACCCCGGTTTCTAGCCTTCAGACTTGCCGCTGGGGAGGGGGCATTACAGAAGAACTCCTGCATATTAATAGCTGGTCATAATACCATTTAAACTTCGAAAAACTGCGAATTTAAACTTCATAAAAGTTGTTTTGGTTTTAATAAATTAAGGTTTGTTCAGTGAGAGTGTTATGAAAGAAAGGGATTTTGGTCTTTTAGTCGACCAATCTCTTAATCCTTCCAGGCAGTATACTGTTGTAACTTGTTATAAAGAAAGCAAATAGAATTTTGGATTGTATCTTCCGGAATACTGAATGTACGTTAAAGGGTGTTAGCATTTCTATTTACAGAACCCAAGTTAACTTCATCGAGTTATAAGAAAGATGTCTAAGGAGTGCTAATAGGGTGGATCCTGAAATGGGGGATTTGTCTTATGAGAACAGGTTAAGGTCCTTAAAATTATTTTCTATCGAGTAAAGAAGGGTTAGAGAGAATCTCATTAAATTGGTCAAAATGATAAAGGGGATAGGACTGATACATCATCATTTTTTTCGTATGTAATGGTAAGAGACTAAGAGTAGTAAGATTAGTGGTAGTTGTGTAATAAGGAGTTCCAAAGTGAGGTGCTTGACTAGACCTACAGGTTTTGCAAGTATTGGTTGATTTGTTTTGAATTTCGAGCAAAGCTGCACGAGGGCTATCTAAGATAGCCGTCCCTAATTTAGTAGTGAAAGACTAGAGGGAAGGCAGTTAGTCATCACCACATAACTCTTTTACCAACCTGAAACCAGCTCAAAAATAATCCACACTTAGACAAAACTAGCCATTAAACACAAAATTCCTGTCAACTTCAAATTCTCTC